CTTAATAGCTAGTTAAGCAGTGATTAGCTGTTAAATGCACTACATGTAACGGATGAATAGTTAAAACAGCTAATCATAACTGACAAAACCATGACTAACATAACTAAATTATGTCGGAAGTTTGTAAGATTTGCGTAACTGAAATCCATAATGAGCGCTTTTAAACATTTTGTACACTGTTTATTGTTGTTGTTTTTGTATTACTCATTTTGTATTAATGTTAATGGCTGTGGTTGTGTGCCTGACAACCATAAACAACTGCATACCTATATGCCATATGGCTGTTTATCCACAGGAGCTTTATTCTCATCACTGACTGTGGAAAGTTTAGTACACATCTAATTATTTTTGCCCTGGGGGCCTGTCAGAATCTGAATAGCTTCACAAGTGCTTCTCATCATGACTTTAAGAGTCCAAATGTCAGCCTTAATGTCATTCAAATGAGCATCAGTGTTTCCAAATGCAGATCGGCATTGCTTAAACACAGGGAGCAAACTAAGAAAATGCATTAGAGCATCTGGCAAATGTGCCTGACTACCATTACTGACTGCAGTATAAATGTGAAAGTAACCATATCCTTGGAAGTTATTTTATTGGAATAGTGTTTTACATGGAAAGGCAATTCCAGAAAGGGATTTAATATTTGGATAAAAGAGTTGCTGTGGCTGTGGGGTTTTTTTTTTTTCAGACAGCAGTGATTGAGTCATTTCTTGCCATTTTGTAAAGATTAAAAATGTTTGACAAAAGTTAGCCAATAAATTACTTTGCATCCAGAGATTTCATGGATCTTTCAGTGCTGTGGATTCTCATTACACATACAACTGATGAGTGACGTGGAAAATTTAGCATATTAGCAATGCTTGCTGGCTAATTTCATGCACTGCATATGATAATTTCAGCAATCGTATTAGAAGAGAGACAAAAATGTCTGTCGGGTCGCCTGCTACACAGGTAAATATGTGAAACAAAAAAACCAAAATAAATGACAACATTTTCTCACCATGTACAATTTTTTCAATTTGTGTTTTGTCAGTGGGATGAAAATAAAATGAAGAAGAGGTTTGAGTTTACGGTATTCATGAGAGCTGTTTAATCATGTGAAATGTTTGTGAGTCGGGAAAAAATTGGTTTAAGTAAATTCCGAATAAACGAAGAACTGTGGATGTTTTTGTTGAGGAGAGCATGAACCAATAATAAATCTTAATCTGGCACTTATATGTATACATAGAGAGATGTTGTTCAATATTCTAAAACTCCTATAAAACATCCAGATCAATAGTAAATCATGGAAATTTCACCTGTGCAGCAATAAATCCTTCAGGAGACAGATACAAAGTACAAAATATAGATGTGTTTATTTTAGCTACATCTTGAAATTCAGGAAGAGGTGAGCAGATGTGATCATCCACGTCTGAAGTTCAGAAAGTTTTTTTTTCTTTTTATACTGACTTTTTTTGTGCTTACTCTTCTTTCACATATTGGAACAGCGAGATCCTTGACTATCTTCAAATTAGATGAAAAGGAGCCTGAAAGTCTGGCTGCTTCTTGAGGCTTCCAGACACTTAAATAGACGTCGCCTATGCAGAGACCTCGAGGTCAAAGCAGAGGTTTCACTGACCATGACTTTCAGACCTACCATCATAGTAAAACCTCACAGGACTGTAAGACCAACTCTAAAAAAATAACCATTTACAGATTGTACTAAGAAAATACTCTGTAAATACTGTACAGTAAATATTCGCCCAAAATGTTATAAATCTATAAATGGAAGTGGTCAGCCAACAAATGCAGTATTTAATCCTTTTAACTATTCCCCCCCCCAATTTTCAGCTCTCTTATAGGAAAATATTTAACTTTTAATTTTTTTATGATTGTTTTTTAAATGTTTATTTCTTTGGGAACAAATGAGTTTAGGACTGAAGCCCATGGACAAGGCAGTAAAGCAAAAAAAAAAAACTGAGAAATTACAGTTCTAGTCTAGGAGCATGAAATAACTCTGGTCTTGTCTTTGTAATTGCTTCTTTCCTTGTATCGCTTTCCTGCTTCTTTTCTCAACTACTTCCTTGTTGGCTTACACTCCTCCCTCCTCTCCCACAGAGATATTTGGTGGTAGATGTATCTTTTCAACCGTGTGACAGGAGACCAGCAGGAGCCCTCTTCCTAACCCCAGCACCTCTGACTGACAGCTCCGGAAGCTTATGGGGAGGTGTGGGGTATATACTGTAGCGATATAATTCCTACAGTAGCATGTTATGCCACTTTGGCCCTCTTTAGAGATAAAGAAGAAAAAACTATATGTCTTGACTATTTATCAGTCCTAAAACAACCAGTGTGAATGGGTTGGTGACTTAACTTCTCTGTTAGTCAGACTTCTGGTAATATTATGATCCTATTTCGTTTTCATTTTGTTTGTGTTCCTACTACAGGATCTGGTCAGATATATAGAGATGTTTGAGCTTTGTCCAAATGTTGTAAAAACAAAACACGAATAAATTAATATCGAAAAGTAATTAAACTCCATGTTTCTCCTGCTGTTAAGGCAGAAGCAGTGGAAAACCACAGACTGTCCCGAGCAATGTCATTGGTCTCCATCCCCTATCAGAGAGCTGCACCCAGGGAAGCAAGGAGTGTGAAAAGAGGAACCTTGTTAAAGGTCAGGCATGATGGCACAGCTCTTTTAATTCACAGCTTTTCTTCTCACATCTCACAGGGAATGGGTTGTGCAACTGTGGCAACTGCGAGTGCTGGGACGGCTGGAACGGGAATGCTTGTGAAATCTGGGTGGGAGAAGAATACTGAGGCCAACAGAGAACAGGACACTGGGTTCAGAGAATTGAGACCTGGCTGCCCAGTGTGACCAGGAGCACCACGAGTCACGACCAAGCTGGTGAAACGCCAAGTTATCGAAACCACGGGGAGGAGAAAGGAAGACTAAACATGGACGTAGCTCTGCATTTCACAAACAGCATTCATTGTTTTATTGTACTGGTTACAAACTATCCTTTTAAAACTGGGTTTTGTAGATGAAAAGAAACAGCCATAGCTCTGTGCTTAAATCATATTACAATGTAAACATTTATGTTTTCAAAGCAGCTTTTTTTTTTTGGATATTGTAGGAATGCTTACATATTTCAAATGGCTATATATAATAGGATGCAAGTACATGACAGTTTCAAATGCTGGAGAGGGGATCAAATGTATCATTAAGATGACTTTGTAGTAATATGTTTGATACTGTGGTCTGTTTTTACTGGTAAATGGTCTGCCCTTCCCACACTGGACTGAAAGTTTACTCGAAAGCTCGAGGCATAGGTTACGCTGAGGTTTTTTATTTCTTTTTCATAATAAAACATTAAATGTGCCGCATGACACAACATTTTGCATGGAAAACAATGCAAAGACCTTAATCATACATGGTTACAAATTTGTTATAACATGACATAACTCCAATGGGCATACTTGCAATGGTATATATAGAGAGAGATATATTCGAAAATAAATCATTTTATTAGTGCCTACTCTCCTCCGTCAAACAAACAGTCTGCCCTGAAACCTTTACTGTCTTAGTAGTGGTTAAATTCTAAGTGGAAGAAACAAAGAGAAGGGAATAAATAGTTCAGTTGTGGCATGCTGGATGTCCATGTCACTTCAAATGGCGGTATCAGGGGATGAGAGCTGCACTGACACAAGAGCTCAGTCACCACTTGAAAAAAGGACCAATAAGAAGTCACAAAGGAAATTTAATGTAAATTCTACTTTGGCCTTTTTCATGCTTAAACTAGCCAATCCCCTCTGTTTTCTTTGTCCCCGAAAAATGACAGGTGCAATAATATACTGCACACTATATTGCATTAAGTATGTTACTGACTTTACAGTATACCTTTATATAAATATTTTTTATTCAATATGTTGTATAATGTGTATACAACAAACACAAACTGTATAGTGTAGACAAACTCGTTGCATATATGTAAAATTAGCGGTACATACCAACAGTTCTTGATTGACATAGCCTACTACATGCAGTTCATCAATGCCATCCTCTCCCCATGCAACAGATGGGACAACATACAAAATAAGAGGTTCGAAAACAGAAGCTAGGATATTCTCGTAACACATTTGAACAAATGGGGGTAACAAAGCAAAAACGCGATTGGGATCTGGAGACGAAATCGACACACAACCCGTATACGAGAGAGATGAGGACGAACAAAACAAATGGCGGCTACAGCAATCCAAACAGATGTACTTGTACACACTGGTCATTTACAAAAATAAAGCCAGCCTTGAAGGAGCCAGTTAACTGGGCTGCAGGGCTGGGGCAGTCACCAGCCCAGCATGTAGAGTTTTGTAAGAGCGGAGGATGACAGTGGTTTCCAGCTCCTGTGTGTGTGTATATGACACCATTTTTAGGATTAACAGCTTTGTACAGACAAATATTGATATCTATGTGATGTGCTTTGATGTGTTGTAATAAGAAATGGCCATGTATAATCCCAATAAACTCAGAAAAATGATATTTACCAAATCAAGTTCTTAATATAGTTGCACTTTTAGCAGCATACGGCAGCAACGATCTACTTAATGTTCTAAATCTTACTTAACTAAACTATTAGGAAAAGAAAAACCAGTAAAGCAAGACGAACATAAATACACTGATCACACAGAGCTTTGATAAACTGCTAACAGTCATGATGAAAATGCAAAACAAAGTGCGGTGAGTGTGCCGCAGCCGTGATACATGCCTGTTCAACTCCTACACTGAACTTCAGTGCTCATCCATTTGCACATAGTGAAGAACAATGCCCATACCTTACTCCTTGTAGAAAATACATGCATGTGATTATTCAAGGTATATGTACTTTTCCAAAGTGACATCAGTCAAGACCTTTGTGGATCTGAGCAGAGTTGATTATTCTGGACAGAACAAATGCTATCACAGTGAAAGCTTCCGTGAATTGAATCAGAAAGAGAATCGAGATTTGTTTTCTTTCTTTCTGTTTTTTTTTTTTTTTTTTTTAAGAATCAGTTCTTCTTGGGATGAAAAAAAGACTTTGGTCATTTCAGAATGGATACATCTGAGTGTGTTTTTTTCAGTGAATAATGCTACGTGTCGTCTACATGGATGTATAGGGTGGGTGAGGCACCTTTGGCCCAGTGGGGACTGGGAACTTGTTTTTGCATGCCGGGAATCAAGGTCCAAACAGGCACGTGATAGGCCAAGATGATCAGAACTGGACTCTGCATGCTGAGCTAGAAGACAAATTCTCTCATTATAATAATAATATCTAGTCTTTTAAAAAGTTATGATTTTTAATAGTCATTTTCCCTAAGTTTTATACAGTGAAAATGTTATAATATAAGCCATCTCTTGTATATCTGCTGCAAGAAGAGAGAACACAATATTAACCTTGTCCATGCTTTAGCTTGCTGAACCAAATAGGGATGCAGCCAGTGTAAATGTCACCTACTGGTTTTCAGCCATGTTGTTTTCTGGCTTTATGTAGACACTGCTGTAAGGTGGCTGCCAGTGCTGGAGTTATAGACCATCTGGGTCAAAGCCACAAGCCTTGCCTCATAGTCCAAAGAAGTCGGTGAGTGAGGGACAGAGGCCTACAAGGCCTAGAGATATTCCTAGAGCCCACGCTCTGAAATAAGATTAAAGAAAAATAGACTTCAGATTTTCTATTTACCAGAGAAGGCGGACAGAACCGCTGGTGGGACCTAGATAGTGATATGTATACACCATTCCTTACAGCGCTCTCCCACCCACACACACATCTGTTTATAAATGTGTATGTGTGTTTGTATGTGTGTAGGGAGCTCCTCGCATTGATTGCAGTGGCGGTAATTAGCACTTCATCAGCTATGATTGCAGGAGCTATCTGCCAGCCTCCAGCGTGTTTTATTGGCTGTTTAAAAAAAAAAATATCTCAGATTTTCAACACAAACTTTGTGTGTCTGTCTATTAGAGTGTGTGCATATTGTAGGCAAGAAGAAAATTTGGACTCCTTTCCACATGTCTTTGCTTTTTATGCCACATTTGTGTTCATGTGTTTCTTAGAAAATCACGCAACCCCCTTGCAAAATGTTTTCTAGGTTACTTGACAAAGAGAAAAGTGTGACTAAAGATAGAAATAAAGGGAGAGGGGGACGCACTTGTAAAAAATAGAGGACAACAGTCCAAATAGTTACTCTATCTATACAGTCTCTATCCCAGAACATAGCTGGTGAACTGTGGTATAGAAAATAGATCTGAAGGTACACAGACTCTGCTGCAACAGGGCATCATAGACAAGGGGGAGGTTTTTAGGGGGAATCATCATCAAGCAAAGTACCAGAAGCGTCATTGTGAAACGCACGTCCCTCCTGGGCTGAATGAAGTCGGCCACCTCAGGAATCCATCTGCCTGTGCTGAGGCAGCTGGAGAATTTGAGAGAATGAGGTGGAGAAAAAGGAGGAGCGAGAGAAGAAAGAAAGGGAGGTTCGCCTGGATCTGCAGAAGGGTCTGGAGTCTAGTTGGATAAAGCCCTGTCTCCGTCGCATTCCTCCCCTCCAACACATGCACATACACTAGGCACTGGCGTGGCTATGTGGTGGGTTTGTCGGGCTTGCTGACGGGTTTCCCTCCGTTCATCACTGCCGGCTCACTTGTGCTTTTACTGGGAGGTACTGCTGCCTTGGGCACTGTCTCTCCAACATCATGCAAAGATGGCTCTCTGTACATGGCAACTGTCAGGGGTGAAAAATTAAGGAGAGAAAACAGAGAGAGTTTACACATTGAAAATTACTAAAGCAGCGTCTATCCCCTATTCTTGTTCTTCAGTCCTAACGTGTGGTAGAAACACAAAAAATCCTCAAATTCTCACACATTGAAGACAATAGGCAATTTACTGAAGGAAAATAAATTTGTGTTTTGATTAACAGAGCTTTGCACTGACTCACTTTTTTTTTTCATCTATCTGGGCTGATGGAGACACAAGACACAATCTAAACACAAAGACTTTTTGACAAAGCTGCAAAGGAGTCTCATTATCCCCCACTTTACAGCCACTACACTACAGCTGTAACGGTGCCTTGACAGGACACTTCAACTTGATTCTCTGCTTAAATAATTCGAAGCAATCAGGCTGGTGGCTGACAAGATTGATGGTGGCATCTGCTGGACTATCAACATTTCATGCTGCACTTACAGAACAGCCCTGCCTCCTATGCTCTATGCTTATAGGAGCAAAAGAATGAATCAGCACACAAATACAAAAGCATATCAAACATATACTATATTCTTTACAGTTACATAGTTATACAATTAGTATTATGGAATCTTGTCATGTAGTATGATGCAGCAGTTGTCAAGCACATTATGTCAGTTTTAGATGCATAATCGTCTTTTCTGTATGTCTGCTACATACCTTCTAATGGCTTGGGCAGGAAGTGAGCAGCTGGTTTTGTTTTTTTCACTCGGTTCCCTTTCATGGCTTGGCCTTCTTTATTGAGCCCTAAGAACCAAGCTCTTCCCGATTCCTGTTGTCTGTACAACATGGACGAGTAGATCACATAGTAGTTCTCGAACACCGACTCTTTGAACTTGCATTCTGCTGTAAAGAGTTCCTGCAGAGAGACAAAAGTGGAGGAGACAGATTTTAAACAATGCTTAGGGAAAAAAAATGAAAATGATACTTCACGAGGCTATAATCTGCACCGGGAGACATTAAAGCAGGCTTAAATCAATGATTCATGGTTCATATTGTGTAAGAATAAAAAAGATGTCATAATTTATATTTAATGTTGAATGCGGGTCACCGGGACAAGTGTCATTTTTATTTCAAACTCACATTGTGCAGAATAATGTGAAACCACCCAACTAGTTAACATGAACTTCACACTTCTGCCTGTCTTGAAAAGGATGAGCACTGCAGAGCCTCAGGTGGTGTAAGCATGCCTGATTCAGGCTGAGCCTGACGATGCAACTCTCATTCTCTCCTTGGCCTTAACCTTGACATCTGATGTTAGAGCACTCGTTCAGTCAATTAGCTCATGTTCCTGGCAGAAAGTATAGATTGTTAGACTGTGACCCGAGGACCACCACGCCTCACCCCAGATGCCAAGCCAGACTTGCTTCGCTAGTTTCTCAATGTTTTTAATTGGCAAAATCCAAAGGGGCTCATTTTCCCCCACATATTCTATCTGCTTTAAGCAATTTGTCTATGACTGTATTCTGGACTTTGTTCAGATAATGATAGAGCTAATCAAGTGATTCTTTCATCCTTTACACCTCAATCTGGCTATGACAAATGAAGACAGAGGCACCACATCTCTTTCTGCTGTTACCTATTCATCTCCAGCCAGAAGGGTAATAAAAACGTTTTTTACACTGTCTGCCCCAGCAAGCTAAAAATAAAGGCATTCATTGGGGTATATTAATCAAAGCGTACAAAGGAGACATCCACCACATCTGTTGTGAGCTGTTCACACTGAATTGGTTCATAAAACCACAGGAAGTGTCATACTGCTGTGGTTCTCAATGTCTGGGGTCAGTGACAATATTCCTTAGAGATCACTATAAGGAGTACCTTCTCAGCTAGAAATATGTAAAGTCTTCAATATAATGGTTGTGTTATATGCAATATCATCACCTAACCACTGCGAACTAATTTCTATGCTAATCAATGTAAAACTAAACACACAAACATCTTTATAAAAGCGAGTCTTTGATGACTGTTTATCTATTTTTCTGCACCCCTTTGATTCTATGCTAATCTTCAGTAGATAAAACAGTGATTATGTTCACAGTTGTTCAATGTGTCAGCATGCTAATAATAATTATCCTGTTGCAGGCATTTCTTCATAAACCAGTGTAAAATATTGATCTGACAATGGTGCTTCATGAAAGGTTAGGGGATCTTTGGGGACTGTTCTCCGACACACACACACACACACACACACACACACACACACACACACACACACACACACACACACACACACACACACACACACACACACACACACACACACGCACAAAAGAGGAAAGAAAAGAAAGGTCATTTCTGCACATTCTGTGCAGCACTATGCAAAAGTCTTGATTCACGCTTCATCAGGGAAATAGCTGCAGCAATTTATTAAAACATCTGCAGCCATACACGGAAATACAATATATTAGGCGAAAGCAGAGTTTGTACAATTCTAAAATGCTGGAAAGTCAATACTTGTTGTGGCCCCATTTATTTTTCTGCACAGCCTGAACTCTCTTGAACTCTCTTAGTCAAGCTCTGGAGTAGTTTTCAGGAATAGTTCTCCAGGCTTCTTAAAAGACATTCAAAAGTCCTCTTTGCATGTTTTTTGTCTTTTGTTCTGTTCTCTGTCAAGGTGATCCCGCACGTTGTGGTCTGGGCTCTGGGGAGGCCAATCCATGACTGACAGTGTTCTGTTGTGTGTTTTTCCTATCCAGACATGCTTTTACTGCACTGGGATCATTGTCGTACAGAAAAATTAAGCCATTGCCAATCAGGCATTTCCCCGATGGTATTGCGTATGATCACAATATGACTAAAACCAGGATAGAGCCTTCACTGTGTTTTGCATGCATTGTTGTACCGCTCTCCTGACCTACTCTATACATACTGTACTGACAATGACTTGAATCAGAAATTTAGGTTTGGATATATCACTCCATAACACTTGTTGCCACTGATTTTCAGTTTAGTTCTTGTGTGTAAAAGTGAATACTCCCTGACTACTTGCAAGTGGTTGCTGGATGCTGCTTGCAGTCATTGTGAAATTGATTGCTGAAGCCTCAGTCACACAAGGCTACAGTGGTCGCTGGGGGAAAAATGTGTATTGCCCAACTAGTTGGTGCGTAGTCTGCTGAGGCTGACTGTCACTAGGTACAGTGCTGTACATGAATTCTCCTTGAGATTGATTTGGCTGCTAGATTGTCACAGGGGTTGGCAACTCCAGGCCTCGAGGGCCGGTGTCCCGCAGGTTTTAGATATCACCCTGGGTCAACACACCTGAATCACATGATTCGTTTGTTACCAAGCCTCTGGAGAACTTCAGGACATGTTGAGGAGGTAATTTAACCATTTGAATCAGCTGTGTTGGATCAAGGACACATCTAAAACCTGCAGGACATCGGCCCTCAAGGCCTGGAGTTGCCCACCCCTGCTCTAACCCATAGTTTGAATGAAAGAAACAGACTTATCTGCAAAGGTTTGTCTACTGCTCGCCAAGTGGCCACAGAACTGTGAGGAGTGTGATGCAAACAAGAAACAGACACCATTCATCTTCTAAGTACTGTATAAGATGAGCACTTTGAAAAATGTGGTTTCAGGAATAAGGCACAACTTGGTGCCGCACCCTCTTTGCGACTACTTTCACCGAGTGACATCGAGCAGTTAACCAACCGGCTGAGTAATGGATATGCTTCCCTTATGACCAAAGGTTTTCAGGGAATTGTTAACTGGTTTCCAGCCCTGTGTGACTGAAGCCTTACAATTAGATGTTGAAGTATTTCACACAGTATGACCAAATGTATCTAGTGGTGCAAGATAAAATGCAGGTGAAACCCAAGTCACTTGAGTTCATTCTCTGAGATGTATCACACTTTCTACCGAATTTTCACGGAAATCCTGCGCAATATTCTTCCGAACAGTTTTCACTATTAACAGACACGGCAGTCAGCCGGAAGAATATTGAGCAGGATTTATCTCATGGGGTTTCTTCACAGCAACATTTCATGGTAATACATCAAAATGTTGCTGAAATATTTCAGCCTGAATAAAGCAGTGGCCTAATAAATCTTGCCATCTCTGGAGAGAAAAAAACGTTCTCCTCTCTTGAATATCAGATTTTTCATAGTTGGGGATGATGGGGCTCTCTCTGTAACAGCAGAGGTCATTATTTATGGGCTAAATGCTTAGTTTGGAACACAGGACACACAATGCCATGATTATCATGTAATTAGCGCTTTGCTGAATTACCCCTGTCAGAGCTTATCCTCCAGACACTATTCAGCTGAAAGGAGAGCTGAGCAGGAAGGAGCAGAAAGACACTCGGGATTACAATAATGATCCTAAGAAGCACCCGGCTGCATTTTGAGTGTCCTTTCTATCCTTGCTCGAGGACTCGTGGGCATTTCTGAGTGGAAGGCACAAACGCATGATGCATAACACCAGCGTCAGCTGACATGTCAGATAAACAAAACTCCTGTGAACGTCCACAGTTGGTTGCAGATATAAAGTATTGAAATCGTTATTGCAGGTCTTCAGAGGTACAGAGAGGTCAGGGTGGTATGGTTAGATATTTGTCAGAAAAATTCAGCTCCCTGACTTTGGTCTGTCTCGACAGTGATTACATTACACAAGAGACTTAACTTCAGTCTATTCTAGTGGTGAATGTAGGGATTAGGATCAGAACTATTAATGCTGCTTTTATAGCAGACCGCAGAGGCTGAGCAGGACAATCCACTGATAGGCAGACAAACCGCAGGCTGAAGCAATAAAAACGGAGCCTTACATGACAAAACCCTGAGCACGAGCCCGAGCGCGTTCAAATCAAACAAGCATTCTCTCCGGATGATGATGCGCAAGCTCAACCCCATCATTATTTGTCGTGTGTCAGCGGCAAGCAGTAGTTTGTCATATGGCTGCTTATTATGTCCAAGTTGTCAGTAAGGGGGGATGAGTCCACACTGCCAGGGAGGTGAAAGAATGTGGTTTTATTGGCTGTACACAAGAGTTTGCAGCAAATTGTGGAAAAATGCTGTCTTAAGGGGCGGCTGTCATTTTTCTTCTGGATAAAACACCAAAAAAAGAACAAATTCATTCGTTAAACAAACTAACCACTGTTCTTTAAGAGTGGTTTAAATGATTTTTCATGCTATAGAAAACTGTTGCTGAGCCGATTAGAAGCAAAACGTTTTTACCTTCATGGTTCCTTGACTTGATTCAACAAGGTAATTAATTCTGCTTTTTCCTCGTCAGGTGAGCTGCACCCCAGGTAATTAGGCACATCATTTTGATGCCGGTCCAGCACTGATTACTTATATAACACCTACAAAACAGCCTGGAGTCAAAGCAATCTATAAGCTGGAGCCAAGTCCGTAATTGTGGTTAATCAAATGCCTTCACATAGATGCACGTCTCTGTTTATGCAGGCTGAGCAAGTGGAGGTGGTTTGTTTGTGGAATGAGACGTCTGGTCAACATAATCAGTTTGATTGGAGTTTGGAGCAGAGGAGGCAGCTATAGCAGACAAAATGTTGATTGCATTTGAAGTGTGTATTTCAGTCATATCATTTGTCATATTCGTTGTCTTAACCCAAAACATCCCTCTTTTTTTCATTTGTTCTAATTTCATCACTTCAAGAAAATGTATGTGAGTACCCAAGCAGAGATTAGGCACAGCTAGAAACTACCGTACACCCATATTATGCCTTTTTTCTACAAGTAGCTCCTCGACTCTACTCAAATCGACTCAGAACTGAGTGGTTGGTTCGGTCATTTTTCATTACAACTGAGTACCACATCAATGTGTGTGGCGTCGCTGTAGGAGCATGGCCAAAAGTCCTGTGATGTCATTTGTATGCGACACAAACACAGCACAACAACT